TCTATTTCTAATTCTCCCCAAGTAGAAATAGCCGGTCATTCTTCTATTTGTTTGATAGTAAATTGTTTTTCATTTTTGTTGAAATTGTATTCTATTATCTTGTGTATTTCAGCCAATTTGCCAGGGTTATTTCCGCTAAAAATGATTTTAGCGACCGGGACTGCCGCTTTGTAATTATGCTCTTTGAGATCCTGTTTGGTTATTTCGAGAATAATTTTTTTTTCGCTTGCTTGGTAATTAAATCCATTTACTTCCACATTTAACTCTTCATTTTTTATATCATAATAGAGGTTAGGAATTGCAAAGAAATCTAAATCGGGAGAATTGAAAACCATGACTTGACCGCCTTTTACGGAAGTAAATCCAAACTCTAACGGACTGTGAGGCAACGCCACATCTCCTGCCACTTGGGTTAATAAAAAAGTTTTTTTTTTATCATTAGGATTAAGAGTATTAAGTCGCAAAATATTTTTTAATTTGGCAATTTTGTCATTTTCAGTTTTGGGAAAAGACAGTCCTATTGTTTTCCAATATCCGTTGCCTGTATGTACTCCATAACTGTCAGCCAGTTCGCAGACGAAAACTGTCTTATTTTCTTTGTTGTTTGAAAATCTGTCCCAAGACAAGATTCTAATTTGACTAGGATTAGGATCAAGTTTTCCGGTAAAGTCTGTCATTATACATTAATTTTAGCAAAAAAAAAAAAAAAAACGCAAAATCTTATAAAATCTTTATTAATATATGCTCTATGACTTGATTATTATTGGTGCTGGACCAGCTGGACTGACAGCAGCCATTTATGCCAAACGAGCACTTTTGAAATGTCTAATTTTAGAAAAATCCTTAACGGGTGGCAAGTTAAATAAAACGACCAATGTAGATAATTATCCAGGTTTTACTTCTATCAAAGGATCTGAACTGGCTCAAAAAATGACCGAACACACCAAAAATTATGAACTTGACTGAAAATCGGAGGAAGTGCTAAAATTAGAAAAAAAAGAGGGTGAGTTTGTTGTCAAAACCGGCGAAAGAAATAGTTTTACTAGCCGAGCAGTTATTATTGCTTCTGGAGCCGTAGAAAAAGAGTTAGGAATCGAGGGTGAAAAAAAATTTACTAATTTGGGGGTTTCTTATTGTGCCATTTGCGATGGATTTCTTTTTCGGAACCAAGAAGTAGCAGTAGTGGGTGGCGGTTATTCGGCCTTGGAGACGGCTCTGTATATGAGTAATGTAGCAAAAAAAGTTTATCTTATTCACCGACGCTCGGAATTTCGAGCTGAGCCAGAAATAGTAATCCAAGCCCAAAACAATCCGAAAATAATTTTTCTTTTGAATTCCATTTTGACCGAAATTGAAGGAGGGGAGACGGTCGAAAAAGTAGTGGTTAATAATTTAGCAAATAATAAAAAAAGCGAATTGCCGGTCAAAGCAGTTTTTCCGTGTATTGGTCTTGCTCCATTTAGCAGTTTTGCTCATGAATTAGGTGTCTGCGACCGAGAAAATTACATTGCTATTAAAGATGATTGTTCGACAGCAGTTCCAGGATTATTTGCTGCCGGAGATGTGGCTCGTCCAACTCCCAATAAAATTAAGCAAATTGTGACGGCCGTAGCCGAGGGAGCCATTGCTGCGCAATCAGTAATCAAATACTTAAAAAAATAAATGAGGATGTCTTATATATTTAAGGATGCCTGTCTGCTAACGACCATCGTCGAAAAATTAAACACATATACAAAATTAATCTCTAAAAACGCAACTTTTAAAAAAACAAGGATAAATTACTGCTTTTTTTTGTAAAGAAAGAAATAGAAAGTATTAAGATGCCGACGAATGTCATCTCTCAATTCAATTTTTGGAGATCTGGTTTTTAACTCGGCAATTATTTTTTGACATTTTTCCTGAGCCAAGTCGGGCCGGGTTTTCTGTTTTCCAACCATGACAACACTAATTTTGGCTAATCAACCCTTTTCAGTCCATTTGTTAACTCTTTCCAATTTATCTTTTAAATCTTTTTCACCAATATTGAAAGAAATCCTGACTTCTTTACAAATATTTTCTTTTTTGTCTTTCTTTTTTTTACTTAATTCAAAAGCGTATTTTTGATAATTGATTAATTTACAAACCGGAGGATTTTTGTCTGGAGCCACGCAAAAAAGGTCCAGGCTCAAATTTTTGGCTCTTTTTAAGGCTTCTTGACGATCAATAATTTCTTTTTCCTCTTTGTCGATAACCAAGAGAACTTGGGAAAAGGGAATATTTTCGTTGAGGAATTGGGTGTTGACTATTTTTTTATTTTTTAGGGTCATTCTTTTTAAGGCGTTTTTTTACTATCAGTAGTTCAATTGACAGAATTATTAAACCGACTAGGCTAATAATGATAATTAAGTCACGGCGATGGTCCGAATTGTTTGGAGATTGCTCGTGGCTTTTGGAAACAGAAAAATTGCCGATTTTTTTTTCAATTTCGGTTGCTGTCCATTGCCACTTGGATTAATCGGTGGGTTGGGGGAATTATTACCAAGATTTTGGATTTGTTGTTCTATTGCTTTGGTCTTTTGCTCTAATTCTTGTTTTTTGATGGGGTCATTTTCGTTTTGTAATTGCTCTTTTAATTCTTGTAATTCTTTTTCTAATTTGGCTTTTTGTTGGTCAATTTTGGCTTGGTTGACTTTATTTTTAGCGCCCATTTTTTTTCCTAACCAAAAAATTCCTCCAGCCAGAGCCACAACCAGGCCACCCACCAAAATTATTTTTAGTATTTTTCTTCTATTGGAATTTTCCATAAATAAATTTTATCGTTTTTATATAATAAACATGAGTGTTAAAGTTAAAATTATAATATTATGGTAGCAAAAAAAGTAAACCAATAAATGTTGGCTTCACCTAAACTCAAAAAATAACGCCCCCAGTTCTATAAGCGATAGGTAATTAGCCGTAAAAATAATTATCAATTCTCAAAAGGAACTTCAATTTTATTTAACAACTGTTCTTGTTCTGAAAAATTCGTCAGACAATTATCAAGCAATTGCTCTTTTTGTTGACTACTATTTTTTAATTTTTCTATAAATCTTTCCCTGTTTTCAATTAAATATTCACTATTATAGTTGAATTGTATAATTTTATTTCTTTCAATCCTAAAATTTTCTTTTAGATAGTCGCGATAACTTGTTCCTTTTTCAATATTGTTTTCAATCAATTTATCTTCAATAAATAATAAATCCTCTGCATTATAATACCCAATTTTTTCAAATATCTCCTCAAAATCTTTAATTAAGGAGATGCAAAAATCGCTTATAGCAAAAGAATTGCGTTTTTCGATGCCTTTCCGTGCTTCATTTATATCAATGGCAATCAAAAAAACGTCAGAATTAGAGTAAATTGGGAAAATGGATGAATTTCCAGTTTCGTCTAAAATGTACATTTTAGAAGCATCCTTTAGACCCAAATTATCTGCAATTATTTTTCGTAAGCACTCTTGTTCTATTTCATTATCACTTCTAATGTGATAAAAGGATAGTTCTGCATCATCATAGTCTATCGCAAGATATCTTTTATCAATTAAAATTCATTTTTTATACTCAGATTGGTT